AGCCAAGGTTTGGAAGAATCAGCAGCAGCTTCATATTGTTGCCATTTCAGCATTATTTGCTTCCAATAGTACCACTCTCACACCTCCCCACCCCCAAAACTCCAACCAAAAAACATCTATCATCTGGGTGCTTTATCATGTATTGAAGCAAATTGTTACTCCCTCACGAAAATCACAGCCAGAGAATTAATTAGTCTATACCCTCACCTCCTACCGTTTCCCTCATTAAACGGAGAGTATTTGTGATCTTAAGCAATTGAGTTTCTAAAGCACAGGGTGAAAATTTGCCATTAGAATAGTCCATCACCACAGGCCTTTCCTTCCTTCCTCCCACCCACCCACAGCCTTTAAGGGAAACAGTTATAGCTCACTGGGAACAGAGGGGAACACCTCATATTCAGCAAACAAAGCTCATGCATGTGCATAACTGCCATTTGGTACCCACATTTGCACCCCAGGTGATCTTGCCCTGTTACTGGGACAAATTAAACCATTCTAATTGGAGAAATATCAGCAAAATCTGTCAAAAGATTATTTCAAAAGTTAAGAGATCTAAAAGTCAAAGCACACTAGAATTCTCTGGAAAAGAAAATGCTGACTCGCTTCTAGGTGCAGCCACCCAGTTGCCCTGGCCTGGAAAGAAGTGGAAGCTGTCAAAGGACTTGGCAATTACAAAAACAAGGCACTTAGATGTATTCACAGTTCTGGCAATGTTAAGGTTAATTTAACCAGCTCAAACTGTCTGCTGTGCTCAGATGATTTCTTCCCCTTCAGCTTGAATGACTTGTAGCTCTCTAGATTCTCCCTCCTGCAAAGGAGGGATAGGAAGCAGTGCATTGCAGTCACCAATGCCAAACTGTGCTGGGCTGTAGACTGTATGATTACAAGACTTGTCACGCTGACCCAACAATACAAGTTTTACATCCTCTTCACTGAAGCCAGCACCTGATTACCTTGACTGACCTAAGCCTATGTGTGCTACATCATGGAAACATTTTCTTCCAAAGAGAATGACTCCCAATATTCAAGTCCCATGATCAGGACAGAACAAACCCTTCTGCTGTCTTATTAATGACCTTTCTTCTATAACAAACCAAAAACCCCTATACGAGAAGCCTATTCTGCTAATTTCTTTTGCAATGCATCTAAAGTCCAAAATAATTAGAAGGAAAGTTAGAGGACTTTCCACATTCACAACAGCAAATCTTGACTAGCAATTATCCAAACGAATCTAGAGCCAACCAACTATCCATTAGTTTCTTGGCTAACATGGAGGACTTAACTTACACTAGTGAACACAGGACTTCATTAAAATGTTAAGTTTAGCAATATGCCAGGGTTGTCTCTTGAAGGAGGAAAGGGACAGGACTGAAACCGCAGGTTCAGTTTGCTCTTCCTGCTTATCACTAACAAATAAATTAATAATTAATACAGCAGGGTAGTACAAGGCAAATGCTAATGTTCATGAAGAGAGAAGTTTTTAGACCCATTATTCATGTGCTGCCAGGCACATCACTAATTCTGCATGACTGCAGAGGACAGAGACAAGCTGCTTTACCCAGCAGAGCCAGAATCAGCTCCACCTCTGCTTGATTCGTATTCCCTCATGCCCAAGCCATCATCATGTTATGCAGACAGGTCTAGCACCAACTTTGAATTTATTAAAGTGAGGAAGTCTGTCGCAGAGCTACTCCCAACTATTTGCTTCTTTAAAATGACCACAATGTGAATGGGAACACATTTATAAAATTTCAGCTCATACATCACATCCAAGATTGTTTGCAAGGCAACTGGTGACTCCAGGAATCTTGGTCAGAAACCATACTGGCCTTGGGTGAAAAGCTGAAAATGAATGTAAAGGATCCAATACGTGACACTAACCACACACAACGTAAGAACAGCTTTTCCATTCTCCAAACTTGACGTCCGCAATGCTCGCTGAACTTACTGTGAAAATAGTATATAAATCTCTTGGACCACAAAGGGGTTTTCTCACAGGTGCTTAGTCTAAAGTTAAATTTTGGCACATTTATTACACAGTTCCACTTACCACAAGGAGAAGGAAGGCAAACTGGTGCCATGCAGCTGAGAGAGATTCCTTCCTCTATATGGCCTGCTATTTAGGTACTTTTCATACACAAAATTCAGAAATTTCACCATCATGACAACTCAGAAAATATTCAGGAAGGTGACTTGCCACATATTATTTAAACCAGATTCATAACCTTGTGGGTTTTGATTGCACTAGTTAGGAAGACTATCTTAAAAAATAATAATCACATCCCTTTTACTACTTTTACATTCAAAAACATCAATCCTCCTTCAGTTCAGTACCACGTTTCTCATAAGTCACATATGCTTATTCTTCTATCAAAAAGACAGCTGTAAATACCTACAGTCCAAAGTATTTAATAGAAAGCATGTATTTAATTTTAAAAAAATAAAAATCAAGTGTCTTTCCCTTGTCAGTAACTTCCCACCTGTGAAATTCTTTTTTAAAGCCTAACTTGTTACTCCTTCCACACAGACCAACCACTACCTTCGTGTGCACATGTAAAGACGAGACTACACTGCACCTTCTTTTCAACTACATCATAGCAACTTAAACATTTAATACATAATCCTTTAAAGAAATTTGAGTGAATTTATTGTATAAAATTATGATTGGCATGGTACATAAAAGTTCCTTTTAATGCACATTTCCCATTAACTTGTACACAAATATTACAAGTATCAAGCAAAATGCAAAATTCTTAAGAACTAATTCCATACTACAAAAGTGTTCACATAGTGAAGTTACTCTGGTTACAAAATGTCATGGAAATAAAAGCACTTCAAAATACATATTTGGGAAATGTCTCAAATAATCAACACAACCTTAAGTTAGTTTAAAAATGCAAAGAAAAAGATACCCTCTTCAAAACACTATTGTTCATTTGGCAAGATGGAGCAAAGTTCAGATCAGTTCATTATTGAAGGACTGTTCTTTCCAAGAAACAAAAAAATAAAAATAAAAACCCCTTTAGTTAAGAAAGGACTCAATTATACTATGATGACAAATAACGCCATCAAAAAGTTATCTGGCTCTCTTGTTTTCACACAGGAGCTGTCAGAGGCAGAGATGTGTAAATGAATACTTCCAGGTATATACAGATTGCCTTTTCAAAAAACCAACCAACCAACCAAAAAAAAAAACCCAAAAAACAAAACCAAAAAACCAACAACCAAAAAATACCAGGTCTCAAAACAACAGAAAGGAGACAATCTGAACTTTGTTGTTTCCATTTAACTAGTTCTGTTCCCATGGTCACAAGACCCAAGAACACCAGTCTGCAAAGGATACATGTTTAAAGAACAAAATGGAACTGCCACTACAAAGGAATCTGTAGCTGTCCAGTTATGTGAGTACCATACATCCTCTCAGTAAGGCTGTTAGACGCTACTATACCTCTGCTTCCCAACAACCTTGGAGACCTGCTATTCTCAACATGACAAAGATGCTTGGACCACACAAACAACCTTACAAAAAGGAGACACAGTCGAACTGTTAGAAAGTAACACAAAGCCTTGAAGACTGAAAGTATCCTTAAAAACTCACACAAAATAACTCCAAAATAAGCAACACATCACATTATTTTTGTATCAGGTGACTTGCGTGTGTTTGAGCCATTGAATGCTGCTATGTATATCTACATGAAACTCACACATACAGAATGTTGTGTTCAGGCATTATTGTAGATTTCCTTTTACACACACAGTCACTATCAGCTTATCCAGTCTGTTCAAATGCAGTGAAAAACAGTCCACAGCACACATAAAAGGAGCAGTATCCAATACAGTGTTGTCTTGCAAAAATGGAGTCTGAATTCCTGAGTCTCAGAGACATTTGCTGTCCTCCTCCATTACTGGATTATTTATTTTTCCAAGGAGAACCTCTAGTTTTCATTTCTTCACTCTGATGAAATTTATAATAGATTGCATCTTTTAAAAAATGTAAAACTTGTACAAAAAAACGTGCCAACCAAAGTGAATTTTTAAAGCTTTTCAAAGGGAGGGGGGATTCGCTTACAAAATAAAGGCCACCTTCTTGTGAAATTAGTACTGCCAGTATCCCATCGTTCTGTTTAAAGGAGAGATTTAGCTCCCTGTTCTGGAAGCCTTATCAGATGCAGTCATGTGAGCTGAAAAACTCCATCCTTTTAACAATTAAAAATACTACAAATAGGACTAACATGGAACAGCCCTTTGTTACAATCACCAAGGTGGCAAAACCAATGAAGTCTCCTTCAAATAGTCACTGCAATCTACTATAACTTCTGTATTTTCCCTTATACTTTGCATATTACACAGTGTAACTTAAAATGTTATTTAAGAGCACTTCAGTCCCACAATGTAGGATTTAAGCTTGCGTGAATACATATGCATGGCTCTGCAACATTTGTAATGACTTACAAAAATACATTCAACCAAAACTTTATATAGGGTTCTTTTTTTAAAAAAGCAAAAATGAAGAAAAAGCCAAATGGTCCCATCTTAAGCTAAATAATACACTCCAAGTTCTGGAAGCAATTCCAAAGCAAAAGCACATTCAAGAATAACATACATCTAATTGCATACTTTCTCATTCATCTTTATCAGTAATAAAATTCTACTGCATATAATTATTCGGCCTTATAAATAATGCTAAGCAGAAAAATATTTACCTCTGTGCTACTTTTCTCAGTTTATAGAAGCATTTCTCAGTTTATAGGAGCAAAGGAAACAAAACCTAAAGTGCAGACTACAGGCCATGATAGGCATAATAAATGAACAAAGGTGCAGCCAAACTTGTGTTTACATCTTAAGTTACTTCGCCATCTTCCTTTTCCTGCTAGAAGTCACCCCATGTGCAATTGAAGAGCTGGTCGGTTGGTTTGTGCCACAGTACAACCTGTAATCACCTGTGATTTTTTTAAAAAAACCTAATTCAATTGTCCATAGATATTTCTAGGCAATAGCTCAGGTTCACAAAACCTTACTTAGTTATTAACACTTGAAATCACACAATATTGACACCTCCTCCAGAGAATGCTACTGTCCTTTTGTTGCAGTATGTGGTAGAACCACTGATGCTTGGTTGACTGTCTTTAACGAGCGATGTCTTCATTTCCATTTCACATGCTACAATAGCTGCATTAAGTTCCACTTGAGCTCGGTGAACGACATAAAACATGAGTCCTATGCTTATGACAATCTGCAAATAAAACAAAAGGCTATATAAGCTGCAGGCATGAATACAAAGCAACAGAATTAGAGTTTGTGAGTCACTTACAGCAGTCTGTTTTGGGAAGAATTTTGTTTCTGGAGGACGGTTCAGGAAAGGGACAGGATGTCAACGGTCTGGGGTTTTATTTATTTAAAGAAGAAATATTTTCCAAAAGTAGGGTTTTGGTTCTGATTTTTGCTCTGAATTTTATTACTAAGAATTTTGAAACTTTCAACACAAAAATCATCAGGAATAAACCTGGACAATTTTTGCTTGGAAATTACTCATTCAATGACATTGGCATGCACTGCACTCCCCACAGGCAGACTTTGTTTTCAATAAAACACCAGTTAAGTTTTTAGCTGAAGATCTTCCTTATAATAATAATAAAAAAAAAAAGCTAAACTCTACAAATAAAAATCAAGCTGTCTCATAGCGAGAGTCCCTTTGAAAGGAATAAATTCCTGTGCCATTTTTTAAGACTGTTAAGAAACTAGCTGGCATCTGCAACTGCCTTTCAAAAAAACCAGTAAGGTTATATTGCTTATAAGATAACCTAAAGTTCTGAGTCCAAAATTTGAACTTTGTTACTAATTGTTACGACTACGTTTTCTTTAAGAACAATCGCTTAGAACATCTGTCAGCACGGCATAAAAGGTGCTAGAATATCACTGAGTAAGATGATTTACAAGTATAGTCACAGGATAATTGCAGCTGGAAGGCATCCTGGCAGGCTCTAGTCCAACCTGCTGCTCAGAGCAGGGCTGCCTGCAAGATCAGAACAGGCTGCTCAGGACTTTTGTCCAGTCAGGTCTTGAAAACTTCCAGGGACAGAGATTTCACCAACTCTCTGGGCAATCTGCTCCACTGCTTGACTATCCTTATGGTGAAAAAGATACTGCTCACTAATTCAAGCTATACATTTCAAAAACTGGCAAATACAAGATCCAAAATAAGACCATGGGCACCAAGTTTTTTAAGTCCTTAAATGCATGCTTGAATGTTTCCTTAGCCTAATTCAGGTCTCTTCAGGTGTTTGTCATACTGTGTTAAAAATATTCTTTTAAATTTTCAGATGTTGTATTCAGAGATTAAATGCTATACCTAAATTATAAGGGTAATTTAATCTTGTGTATATATGTTGACATTCTGGAAATAAAACATACCTGTATGCTTGTCTGCCAGTTCTCAACTGTGTTTAATGCAAAACTTGGATGCTAAGGCTAGTGTTGTACTGTGGTTTCATTTTATGTGATCATAATTTGCAGATTTTTTTAAAATACTTTTTGCACTTATTGTATTCACTTATATTGTGGTGTACTTGACAGTGTTAGGTTGATGGCTGGACATGATGATCTGAAAGGTCTTTTCCAGCCTAAACGGTTCTAAGAAGTTCTTTTCTGAATGCACAGGGAAAACCCTGCTCTAAAAGCTTACCCAAATATTTAAATTTGACTGTTTTAGAAGTATTACTACCAGTAGCCTAGCTCCCTAGATGAATAATTAAAATAAATATATGTATACAGGCAATCATGAAATGCAAAGGATTTTTACAGCTATTTACTAAATCAAGTCCCATCAAAGCTCAGCCAGACAAAGCACCAGCAGATGCCTGAGAGACAGTAGGAGAACACCAGTAATTCCTCCACTTCAGGGCTCCTCATCACTTATTCAGTTGGGTCCCAGGGATTGCTCTCAAGGAGGCTTGTACTCAAACATTCAGACTATCCAGCTAGCACTTCCCTGAGCAACAGGTATTTTACAACCTATATAATCTGCAAAGGAGAGTCAACGTCATTTTAAAAAAATTAATGGAAAAATAAAGGAAGAGGCCACTAGGAACCACTACCCTAGAAATAGCATTTCATGAGTAAAATGATAGCTGATCAAGTATTTATTTTCTGTTTGATCTACCAAGACTATTTAACACACATTTACAAAGGCATTTTTAATACTCATAACCCTGTTCTATGAAGCCTATAAATTATATGTGCTATTTAAGAGCACACAAGTTTCAGGGTAAGGGAGGAAGGTCTGTTTAAAATGGTCCTAGACTTAGTTTTCTGTGTTAGCATTGTTAAACATCAGTTTTATGAATGTAAAAACTGCGGAATATAAATGACTGCAGTACCAAATCAAAGACTGCAAACTATGGTAATTGCTAGTCAACCACAGCTTGAAGTACTGACACTGACAGAGGAGGTTTTAATATAGAATCTACTTCTAAATACCCATAACCTCTACACCCATAATGGTCTCAGACGTGCACCCAAAACTTTACTGAGAAATCATTTCATCAGCTAAGGCTACGTAAAGGTACTACATACACTTCTCATTAATATGCTCACTTGTAAAATTAGAATATTCTGATTTAGGCATTAGCAACATTGTATTTCTATAGCACTTTTCATCCTGAATACCTATACAAAATGGGGATGCTGAGTGCTAACAGTGAACACTGCACAGCTGCTGGGTCTACACACCCTGAGCACACCACTTCACAGATGGTGGCACACGGGGTTTTGTGTAGAGGTGGTTTGACAAGTC